GAGGTCTAAGAGCTCCATTAATTTGTTCTCGGGCAAGTTGCTACCAAATCATCCCAGAGAACAGTCATACAGAAAATTTGCCGTCAATACATTTCACCTAACTTCTTTCCAGAAGAAATGCTTTCTTAAATGGACAAGTGAAAATGGTACTTGCTTAAGGCGGCTCATAGAGGACCAGTGTCAAACCAGATTCCTACAGAATGGCAGATGACCTTCCTGGGCCACCCCAGAAAGGAATGTTTGTCCAGACAACTTATCTCCCAAGATAGTCAGTCTTGTTTTTCAGCCTGGAAAGGAATGTTTACAGAGACAGCCTATCTCCCCCGATACTCTTGCTTGAAGGACATCATTCCAGGAGAGACCCAACTGCAGACCTGCGCGTTGCCCTCCCTCATGGCTGCAATAGCTGCAAGCCTCTCACTCCACCCCGTAAAGGGGCATAGCCGGCTTCTTCCCTTGGCAGACCTCTCAACTTCCCTCAGGAAAGAGGCTGCCCCTCACTGTGTGTGCCAAGAAGCACCGTCCCATCTGTGGCCGCCAGACTCCTGCCTCTTTGCCTTCCTCCATCTCTTCACACTGCCTGGCAGTGCTCTAGAGTCAGCATACCTTGAGGAGCAGCCTCCTCAACCTAACGTGCCCATCCTCTCGGTTCCTCCCTCCTTTTGTCATGAAAACACATAAAAATCACCCTATTTTCCTTGGCTTCTCAGTCAGCCTTCAAAATTTATTTTAAAAAAAAAACCACTTTATTTTCTTTTTAACAATTAAAACGTAATTAAATTATTTCCCCCTTCCCTGGAGAAGACTACTCTTCCCACTCTCCGTATTCTATAGTTGACTACAGTTTTTGTTTAGGATTGAGAGCCCCGTGAGATTTCCTCCTTCCATGTCAGCAGGCCTGTGGGTGTCGTCCTTGTTCAGGTCTGGTTTAGGCAGCCACACTGATGAGGCTTCATGGGGACAGCTTTTCCGACATTGTAGGAAACAGTTCTACAGTAAACTCCCTGTTCCCCTGACCTCTTGCCGCCCTCTCTTCCTTTATGCTCTCTGAGCCTCAGGTTCAGGAGTTGTGCTGTGGATGGAACCACTGTCCTAGCTGTAATGATGCAGCCACACAACATGGCTGACACTTCTGGGTGCTAGGGCCTCAGGCAGAAGAGCCTAATGGCCCTCGGAATCTTAAAGGACCCCATGTGACCCACGAGCAGCATGGTTGCATCATCTACGTATGACGCAGCTGTGTGAGCCCTTGCACGCATGCGTGAGCTCCGTCATCTGCGTATGATGTAACCAAGCCATCCCCTTGTGCGCATGCACTAGGCAGCCCGTAAAAAGCTGGAGGTACCCTCTTCAGCCCCCCCCCCCCCCCCTCTCTCTCTCTCTCTCTCTCTCCTCAGCCTCATACAGTCACTTGTTCTCTGCATATTGATCAGTGCTGGTTTTCAGTAATGGTCTCTATCTCTTCCATAAAAAAAAAAGAAAAGAAATAAACTGTTTCCTTGTTGAGGGGTGAGAGTTATACCCTTCCCCAAATTTTCCTCAAATTCTTTCATAGCGATAGAACAGTGTTTTTTCCTCTCCCCTCCCCCCAGCTAGTGATAATCCTCTCTCCCAGAGACCATCTTGCCATGTCTGCAGGTATTTTCTGTATGCCATCTGGTAAGGCCTTGCCAATGGCCTGGTAGCCTGCTGTCAGGAGTGCTGGCAAGCATTCCACGAGACCAGGGCAGCTTCCCACCACGAAGGATTATCTGACCTGACAGTCACTGGAGTTGAGGTTTGGGAACCTCAGCTGAGAAGATAGGTTGTCCCTTTGGGCATGCGTGTTGTAAGGTTTCAACGGGTGTGCCAGCCACATCATCATGGCAGCCGCCTGTGGGGTGACATGACTGGATTCTAGAAAAGCCTATTCCGGTGAGTCTGGTGAGTCTTGGTTGGAAACAATGGAGTCTGAGGCAGTCTTATCTTATCAAAGAGGATTAATAGTGCAGCCAGCTGTGCACAGCCTGCAGTCTTATTACTCACTGGGGCCTCAGCTTCAGGATTTCCAAGATAAGAAGCTGAAACCCACAGGTTCCTGAGAACAAAAACAGAAGCCTACCCACCACACAGTGAGATAAGAGCAGGTTGCAGGTCATTGCGCAAGGCTGTTGTCTTTCTTTTGGAGAGAATAACAACCTCCAATTAAAAAAAAAATGGATGGCAAAGTTTGTGCCTTCAAATGTCCTACTGAGAACCTGTGCAAACTTAACAATGAGCAATGAAGGCGATATTGTACGTGCTTTTACATAGCCAAAGTGACTAGGTGTTGAACATCCCAGATTTTAATGTTTCTGTTACATTCCATCAGTCTAAACATTTCTGTGCCTATCCATTCCGTAAGTCCCATCCAGCACTACTTCCTGCTGCCGCATAGTTACTCTTCCTGTGTTGAGTGAGGTTGCCAATGTGGGGAGTGTCAGGTCCAAAGGAAGCTCCATTTTCCCAAATTCTGACTGTTAGACAAAAGCCAGCATTCCTCAGGAACTTGTGAAGCCAGTTCCCCTCTACCAAAGAGGTCAGTGACCTTATCACTGGCAGAAGGGACAAGTGGCTATCTATGGTGCCTATTATCATATCAAACTACATGCTGGCCACCAGGCTCATTCAGTATCATAAGTACACTTACACATTTCAGAGTCCTTGCTAGCATCTGAGGGCTTCTCACCTCTTTTCCTGCTCTACACTTCTCCAGCTCATGGGCTCCCCTCCCCTCAGCTCCTTGCTCTCCTTAATACCCTACTACAGCCACTCTTTTCTTTCTCTTTTGCTCATTCTTTTTGTCTTCCTCTCTCTGCCTCCCTCCCCTTCCCTCTGTTCTCCTGTATTCTCTCTCTTTCTCTCTCTCCCTCCCTCACTCTCTCCCTCCTTCGCTCCCCCTCCCCCCTCTCCACTCTGCTTGTCTCCTGGCTACTTGGCTGACCCTGCTCTGGACTCTTGCAGAGGCCTCTGTCTCTCGCTCTTATATCTATAGTATAAACTTTTCCCTTAACCATACCATGGAGTGGTCACTCCATAGGTTTATACAGGGAGCACTTGAGGAATTTGGAAAGAGTTAGCCAAAGGAGATGAAGCTTCTCCACCCTTGTGTGAGTTTGGTGTGTTGCCTTACAGGACTCCAGGCCTGGGCTTTGCAGGATACTTTATTGGACCAATCAAGGGAATGGCTTGAGGTTTGCTCTCCCCACAACTCCCTTTCAGAACAAGCTCACCTTCTCTGATGCAGTTTTTCCTATCTCCCAAGTGGTTTTATTAATATGTGTTTAAAATATATATTCATTTCTCTGTGTGAGGGACTGGGTGCCTGTGTACACATGTATGTGCATATGGAGGTCAGCGGACAACTCTAAGGAGTAGCTTCTCTCCTAACATCGTATGAGAACTAGGAATTTACCTAAGTTTATTAAGCCTCTCCTGTCTTAGCTCTCTTGCTGCCCTTTTGCTATTTTATTGGAAGATATTAAACTAACAGGACGGACTGCAAACCAAAAAACTACATGTGTGCCCTAGTGCACTAGTGTGGGTGTGCATAAATCTCTCTCTCTCCCCTCCGTGTGTGTGTGTGTGTGTGTGTGTGTGTATGTGTGTGTAGAAATGTAGTATCAGAAGGAAAAGATTTGTGTAAAAGTTACAGAGGAAAGCACAGGAAATCAGTCTGAAATGGAGGTGTTCTGAAAGGATGAACCTAAAAAAAAATATTTGAACAGAGAATTTAGCAGGGAGGAGGGTTCTTGTATAGGAATGACCAGGGTTAATTACTGATCAGCTATTAACCATTATAAATACAGAAATATACATATACATGTACTGACACACATATGAACACACGTGCACATATCTGCAGTGTCTGTCTACATGGGAGTGATGTGTGGGTTCGCAGGCATTCACGCATGTGTATGTGTGTGCACATGCACACAATGAGGATGGTATTTCCTCTTATCTTCAGCTTTATTCAAGCATTCCGGCATTGCTATTGCCTACCAGTTGCCTCTGGTCAATGATCCATAACAATCAGCCTAGGACAGGTGGCTGAAGAAAGAGACTAAAGAAAGAAGAACTTTGCTTCCTGAGTCTCTGATTCCTCTTGGAGAGATGACAATGACATCAGGTCACCGGTGTGTTGTGGTACAGATGTGATAAGCTAAGGCCAGCTGTGTCTGGGGTAGGCTTTCCTTTGGCCAGGCCCATGTTCATGGCAGTATAGAAAACCCAGCTTCCAGGGCTAGTACAATGATTTACAGGTACTGTCTGGACATATCAACCATGCGACTTTAGGTGTGCGATGAGAGCCCTGGTCACATTTTCTCACCTGCTGCATCTGAGACCAGTGTCTTGGCTCTAGAACATAAAGACAAAAAAGCTCTTTCTATTGCTTTGGCCAGGTGGCTTGTTCTGTAATGTTTACTAACAACTTAAAGGTACTGGATTCTCTTTGAAGATTCAGAGATTCAGAAAATTCTAGACATCTACTAACTGTGATGCTTCAAACCCTCACCACTGTGTCCCATTCTGCCTGTTCTTCTGTCTGAGAAATTGCTATGCAAGTTAACTCTGAAGCCTGGACTTTGTTTCCCAAAGACTTGGAAACATGGCTGTCTGTGTGCCTGGTACGAAGACACTACAGAGTGTGACCTAGGTGGAAGCCATAGCAGAGGTCATCTCCTTTACTTCATTTCACAGAGGAGGTCTAGGAGGGAGCAGGATTTTGAATCAATTCATTTCTTTATGTACTCCTCCATGATTGCTGAGCAAATATACTTTGGATAACATGGAGCTTAAAAAAAAAGAGACACTGCTGTTGCAATTTTAGAAGTCCGGGTGCCAGAAAAGATGCAAAAAAGGAAAAGGAAAAATACCCAATCATGATAGAACGTGTTGTTCTAGACAATTTCATAAGTTATTACATAAGAGCGTTGAGTCAGAAACACTGTTTCCTCGTTAATGTCAATCTCTGGGCTAAGCCTGGGGAACATAACAAGCAAGTCAGAGATGCCCCTGATGCTGATGGAGTTCAGAATCACGGGAAGATTTAAGCAAGTCCATGGCAGCATTGTAGAGCGAAGAGGTACGTCCTTGCCATATGGTCAGAAATAAAGCAGGGTTGTTGATAGAGAAGTCATGGTTGAGGACATTTGAGCTCTATAGAGGGTCTTCAACGACAGTGGCTAAGAATCCAGAGAGAGGGAGAGGAGCAGACACACACACACACACACACACACACACACACACACACACACAC